CACTGGCTGGAAAGGGGGTTGGTGGGGAGGGCAAAATGTGGCCCAGGAGGTCGGTTCCATACTGATGAGCTAGGAATTTATTATGATTTGTAATGGCCTGTAATGAGTTAGAAATCATAGAATCATAGAATATTAGGGTTGGAAGGGACCTCAGGAGGTCATCTAGTCCAACCCCCTACTCAAAGCAGGACCAATCCCCAACTAAATCATCCCAATCCCCAACTAAATCATCAAATGTAGGGCTGTGGATCACAGTGTCCATTGGAGAGAACGGCAGGGCCACCCAGAGGATTCAGGGGGGCTGGGGTCTTTGGCGGCGGGGGCCCCCCGCCGCCGAATTGCCCCCGAAAACCCGGCACTTCGGCGGCGGCTCCCAGGGCGGAAGGTCCCCCCGCCATGGATCTTCGGGGCACTTCGGCAGTGGGTCCTGGAGTGGAAGGACCCCCCGCCTCCGAATTGCCGCCGAAGACCCAGAGCGAGTGAAGGACCCCTCTCCAGGGGCCCCGAAAAACTCTCGTGGGGGCCCCTGCGGGGCCCGGGGCCTGAGGCAAATTGCCCCACTTGCCCCCCCCGGGTGGCCCTGGAGAACGGAGCAGGGCAAGGCAGGGGACTGAGCTAGTGGGTGAAACCTGATCTTAGCTCAGCTCCTCACAGCGACAGGGGGAGGGGGAGTTTTTGTCCAGGGGCTGCACCCGCTTGGCTCAGTGTGCGGCTCCAGGCACAGTAATACAGCCCTGTGTCGTTGGGGAAGAGGCTGTCTGTGCTCAGCGTGAAGTTCTGCTGGGCCGGTCGGGCAGCAATAAAGTGTTTCTCCGAACTGTCGTCAATCAAATCCTTGCTTCTGGAGAGAAAGAGCATGTGCAGGGCTCCTCCCTGGGGAGGCTGCCGGTACCAGTACATCCAGGGCTCTGCATTGTATCCCTGCAGGTAGCAGTCCAGATGGACTTTAGAGCCGGGGGGCAGAGAAATGAAGCGGGGGGTCTGGTGAAGAGTCTGGGAGCGCCCGTCTGTGAATGAGACACAGAGATGAATGGAGAAAGAAAGAGGAAAGGAGTCTGAAAGAAAGAAGGCAGGTAAATGGCAATGAGAAATATCGCTCCGTTCTCCCCTTACAGTGCGGGAGGGTCAGGAGGGTGAGAAGCAGCCACAGCCGCTCCGGCATCTTCCTGCCCTGCAAATTCACTGATCGCAGAGCCGGACGCATCGTCTCTCTAAGGCCGGATAGTCTGCTCTGATACCATCCTTTTAGTTCTCCTCCCACATGTTCCCTCCTTATACCCCACCTTCCAATCCCTGACTGTGTACTTTGCAAACTGCCTTCCATGTGTCTCCCTCTCTCCTTTTACCTGGCTTTCTTTCTATCCCACTCCCTTCCCTAAACTCTCTTCAAGTCCCTTTCCCTCTTCCTGTCGAAGCAGAAGTCATATTATTCCTTTCTTTTGCTGCCCTTGCTCTTCCAATCCCCAAACCTCTTTTATTAAGGAACCCTTCTGGCTCAGTGTTTTTTAAATAGATTCCTTTTCACTCTCATTGTGGATTAGAGCCTCCTCTCTACAAACCAAATTCTTTCCATTGCCCAGTTCCTCTCCTAGGGGTCAGCTGCCTGGGCCTGGGATGCTGAGAGCCTCCTGACATGGCTGGACAGTGCTTGTGGCTTCCTCTGATGGTCACCAGCCTGTCTGCTGATGGCCAGTGGACACCTCCCCTTTGAGGTGCCATGGCAGAGCAGGCTGTAGCCCTGTAGACTATTGGCATGGTCTTGCATACCGAGTAATCCAGAGCACAGTAGCACACTGGATTTTAGCATTTCATGGAGGAAGCAACTGGGATCAAGGAAGCAACAGAGAGTCAGGAGATTGACAGAGATTATAGGGAGGCACATCCTGTATTGCTATCCATTCAAAAATTATGAGTCAGGCCCCCAGAATCATGAGATTAAAATAACAAGGAATACATTTGGGGTTCTTTTTCTTTGCCTTCTGGTTTCAGAGCCTTTAAGATGCACTCATGTCACATTCTGCAAACTTCTCTCTGCAATCAGGAAAGACAAAATATTTGCTTTTTTTTTAAATGAAAGCTAGGATTAATTTTCAGAAAAATCACTTGCTTCCAGGAGCTGGGACTTTAATAAATAACACCAAACATTGTGAGTTTTATGATAAAAGCTTGAGAGTTGGCAACACAGCAACACCCCACCAACTAGCAAGCAGCGCCCGTCACACTGAACAATGCTCAGGATCTGTGTGTCTGAGGTGAGGTGGGGCCAGAACATATAAAGGGCTCCCAGCCTGCCTCCAATAGGGAGTTCCTATACTGGCAGGCTGCACAAAGTGGCAGCCTATATGATCAGGAATCCTGTATAAACCCTTCAAGTGTTGCTGCTTATGGAAAGGGGACTTTGTACTCTTTAGCTTCCCCTGCTGCCCCAGAGGCTAAATGCCCCACATAGTAGGGTACTGAACCCCATGAAACTAGCCATCAATATGACTGCCAGCATTCTTTCCCTTCCCTTGCCATGGGAAGGTCTGCACAGGACATAGGCTCAAGAGAATGCAGGGTAATCTTTGTCTAGAAAGGGCTCTGCCCATTCCCCACAGAGGATTTAGTATTTTCTGGAACTGCTGGTTTAAACCAAGCAGAGGCTGAGGTCCTGGCTACAGTATGACCCATATCAAAACTACTGATGCCAGGCCTCAACCTCACCCTCAAGCATTAGTTTTTTAAACAAATGTTCTTTCTCCTGAGGAAGGGACTTGACTAACGCCAGAGCTCAACCTGCCTTTTGGCCATGAAGGCCTGATAGTCCAGGATATGAAGGCTGCAAATCTTCCAACCACATGAATCCCAGCATTGCAGTTCAGGGCTCTAGGGTGCAGTGCTCTTTGCAGCCAGCCTTCTCTCTGACCATGATTACTGTGATGTTGCACTCCATATGTTTTATAAAAATATGTTTATAAGTGTGGATATGATGTAACTGGAATATGCTTTAGGCAAAAGGTCTCTGGTAAGGTATCTTTACAAAGCTTATAATCTACTGAGTGTGGTCAAACTATTTGTATGAATGTATCATTCTTGTATCTGAAACTAGGAATATGAAATATAACTCTGATGTCCTATTGTAATTATGCAAAGTGTGGGCAATTAATGGTGATTTGGAATCTTGATGGCTCCCATTAACCAGGACCATTGGTTGTAAATGGCTCTGCTTACTTGTAAGCCTTCCTTTACATGTGTGTGCCAGCAAGTGGGTAATGAAGTTTTACAGTGACATGTGATCATGTCACCTGAACTGGAATCCAGCTTTAACCTTGTACTTTTCCATTTAGAAGGAGAGGTGGGAACCCAGAGAGAGACAAAGGATTCCTGCCTTGTGCCAAAGATATATAAGGAGGTGGAATAGAGCAAAGTGGGCCAGTCATGAGGAATCCCCTAGTTACCACCTGAGCTGGAACTACCAAGGATTGTACCAGGGAAAAGGATTGGGTCCAGACTAGGAAGGAGTCTAGTCTGTGAAAGAAGTTTATTGGACCATCTCTAAGGGTGAGATTTACCTGTATTCAGTTTCTTAATGTATTAGGTTTAGACTTGCGTGATTTGTTTTATTTTCCTTGGTAACTTACTTTGTTCTGTCTGTTATTACTTGGAACCACTTAAATCCTACTTTTTGTACTTAATAAAATCACTTTTGTTTATTGATAAACCCAGAGTAAGTGATTAATACCTGGGGGAGCAAATAGCTGTGCATATCTCTCTATCAGTGTTATAGAGGGCAGACAATTTATGAGTTTACCCTGTATAAGCTTTATACAGAGTAAAACAGATTTATTTTGGGGTTTGGATCCCATTGGGAGCTGGGTGTCTGGGTGCTGGAAACAGGAGTACTTGCTGAGCCATTTTCAGTTAAGTCTGCAGCTTTGGGGGTGTGGTTCAGACTCTGGGTCTGTGTTGCAGCAGGTTTGAGTGTCTGGCTCAACAAGACAGGGTTCTGAAGTCCCAAGCTGGCAGGGAAAACGGGCTCAGAGGTAGTTTCAGCACACCAGGTGACAGTCCCAAGGGGGTCTCTGTGACCGAACCTGTCACAATTACCTTAACCACCAAGCTCCTATGAGGAGGGAGAGAGACATAGATAGGGATGTCTTTTTTTCTTGAGTACCTTCAAGATAGAGACAGTGGTGTGAGCTGTCTGCTACGTTACACCTTCCTCATCAGTTGGTCCAAAATCTAGTTGCAAGGCACAGTTGTCAACTTTCATGCAGTAAATAAACACCCCGACTTTCACAATAAGCCAGAAATCAAGCTAATCCCATTTCAAAACAAGGCCAAAACAAGCCAATCCCTAAGAACCCCAACACTCTATGTGACTAGATCCCCCCGGCGTGCAGTCTAGGACTGTGGTGGGCCTGCTGTGCACCCCTGACTCTCTCCTCCCCTTGCCCCTGCTTGTCCCCCTTTGCTCCTGCTTGCTGGGAGCTGATCAAAAAAAGAAGCAACAAGCTACAACTAGCAACAAGCTACTAGCCAATCAAGCAACAAGGTACAAGCGAAAACTAGCCAACAAGCAACTCACAAGCCAATTAAGCCAAAAACAAGCCCAATTTCTGCGTTTTTTCTGTGGGTTTGGCATGTCTGCTGCAAGGGCATGGTAATCCTGTAAGACAGGGGTTTCTGGCCTGGGTAACACTCACTCTTGGAGCCATTGTGCATTCTTGGACAGGGACCAACTCAAACACAGCTTACTTAACCTGCTGTTTAAGAAGTGTCTCTGGGACCATGGTCTGTTATGGCAGCACAAAGGAGCTGCAAAACAGCCTCATTGCCACCTGAGGATTACCCCTGGCATAAATGGCTCCCACTGGCTGTCAATCCCCTTTCCCACCTCACACAGGAGGCTTTAGTGCTGGGGGTGGGAGGTGGATTGGCCAGAGAGTAGCCTTATTGATTCTGCATTGCTGCCATGCCCCAGAGGGCTCTGAGCTGGGGTACACAAGCTAGGTCAGCTTTCAGGGCTGGGGACTCAACCTCAGCAGCTCTGAATAGGAAAGGCAAAAATGTCTCCATTTGCTCTCTGCACCAGCACAGGGATGAATTTCACAACTCTTTACTTCTGCTGCCCCTGCATGGATACGTCATGCCACTGCATACAAAGCTGTTAAACAATTTCCTCCTGTTTCCTTCTATGTCTACACTACAGGATTAATCCGAATTTAGATAATTCGAATTTG